GGCCTCGTGGAAGACCCAGGACACACTGGAGGGACTATGTCTCTCGGCTGGCCTGGGAACGCCTTGAGATCCCCGACCCCCAGATGAGCTGGAGGAAGTGTCTGGGGAGAGGGAAGTCCGGGGTTCTCTCCTAAGACCTCTTCCCTCGCGACCCCGAAAAAGCAGATGAAAATGAAATGAATTTTGTAACAAATGTTGATTTTTTTAAAGCAAATAAACACAAAACATTGATCTAAGCCTATAATAATTTACTAGATCTTTAATTAAAAGTAAAACTCGCAAAAACAAAACAAAACTGGAGCTGAAATAAATATTATTAATAATAGTAGTGTTCAGTCACAACATGCCATAGAAAAACACAGAAGGCCAAATTTATGATATTAAAAAGCAGAAATTAGATGAAAATTCAGAATAGTGTCATGCATGAAAAGCTGACATTATCAGGAGAAACAGTAACATTTATGACATAAAAATATTTTAATAATTTTTGCATAAAGTCCATGAAATCAGATGTTGAGATTGTGACATTAAAGCCATGTAAAGCAGCTTTAAAAGTTGATTATCATGTTAATAATTATTTAACTAATAATAACTGGGTTTATGACATGATAATAAAGCATCAAGCGTAAAATCACTGCATGTGCATATGAATTATAATCAGAGAGTGAAGTAGGTCAGAGTTGAAGAACAGATGAACCAGTGGAGCAATCCTTCATATTAACAGCTGAATAAATCATTTAAGCATTACACTGTGCAGAACGGGTAAATACACTGTAAAAATGAAGAGTTCCACACAATTCATTCATGTGCTCCCAACATAAATCTATTAAGTTAACTTAACTCTTTTAACAAATGTGTGTGGATTGAACATAAAAAATGAGGTGGTCCCAATGAAATCTCGAGAACTGTGCCGTTTCAGCTCATTTTAAATAAGTAGTTTGAACGAGCAAAAAAAATCTTAGTTTTGAGTGAAGCTTTACTCTAATTTCTGCTCATTGCTGGACTAATACTGTTCATCTCGGGTTTGCATCTCAGGGAAGATTGTGTCTCACTCCTCCTGCCGGATCCTCTGCAAATCATTGATGTTTTAATGCTGAACATTTGACCACTCAAACAGTTTTAGCTTTCTATTGGATTAAGGTCTGGACACTGGCTTGGCCACTCCAGAATCTTAATCTTGAGGAGTTTTTACAGCAAGCTGTGTTTCAGGTACATTACAGTAAGGGAAGCCCTGAAGTATGTTCTGAGTGAGGATGTGAGATGCTCCGAGGAGTGAAATCTGAGAAAGAGAAACTAAGATCATGGATAAAAATAAGAGATATACGACATTATCCCTAATGTTAAAGGACTCGCCACAGCTAAATGATCCACCTTTGTCCACAAGCTTAGGCATTTGTTTTACATGATTATCCTACATGAATACACAATACAGTGCTTATTTTGTTTAATAGCAGAGAGTTGCTTCTTTAGTTTGATATATGGTATGCTCCAATATTCCTAGCCAAAAATATTCTGATGGCTGTCAATATTAAAAATGTTGGCACTTAAAAAAATGATGGCCGGAAAAGAGTTAGTAGAGTTGCCTTGGCTGTGTGTTTCGGGTCATTGTCATGCTGGGATACTCATCCTTGTCCCGTTTTTAACGGTTCTCACCCCAGATCTGATGGCTCATGTCCTGTCCATCATCCCTGTGATGCGGCGCAGTTGTCCTGATGAGTGATGCTTCACAACTGGAGCGCTGCAGATGTGTGTGTGTGTGTGTATCTGGTCTTTAAGTGTGTGTTGTTCCCACAGGTGGCGGTTCCTGACGTGACGGAGGCGGCGAGCGGAGCAGATTTCCTGATCTTCGTCATTCCTCATCAGTTCATCGTCAGAGTGTGTGATCAGATGAAGCCGCACATCAAGCCTGGAGCCATCGGCATCTCTCTCATTAAAGTACAGCACACACACACACACACACACACACACATACACACACACACACACACACACACACACACACACACACACACACACACACACAGACAACATTCATTCATTCATTTTCTCTTTTGGCTTAGTTCTTTTATTCATCAGGGATCGCCACAGTGGAATGAACCACCAATTATTCCATCATATGTTTTACACAGCGAATGCCCTTCTAGCTGCAACCCAGTACTGGGAAACACACACACACACTCATACACTACGGCCAGTTTAGTTGATCAGTTCCCCTATAGCACATGTGTTTGGACTGTGAAGGAAACCCACACCAACACGGGGAGAACATGCAAACTCCACACAGAAACACCAACTGACCCAGCCGGGACTCAAACCAGAGACCTTCTTGCTGTGAGGCCACAGTGCGACACCACTGAGCCACCGTGTTACCCACACACAAAGCACATATACACATGTTTGTGTGTGTTCAGGGTATTGACGAGGGTCCGGACGGCCTGACTCTGATCTCTGACATCATCAGGGCGAAGCTGGAGATCGAGGTGTGTGTTCTGATGGGCGCCAACATCGCCAGCGAGGTGGCCGACGAGAAGTTCTGCGAGACCACCATCGGTCAGTGACATCACTTCCTGTCTGAACCTGCAGGCTGAGCGCTGGAGCTCATGTGCTAATCACTGCATGTGTGTGTGTGTGTGTGCATGCATGTGTGTATTTGTGTGTGCATTTGTGTGGATATGTGTATGCATGTGTGTGTGTGTGTGCATGTGCATGTTTTTGTGTGTGCATGCATGTGTGTTTGTGACTGTGTATGTATGCATATCTGTGTGTGTGT